GCATGGCCTCGATGGCTGAGAGCTGGGTTTCCGATGGAGGTGTGATGTCGCCGCCGAGGCAGCAGCATCAGCACTCAGAGAACAGCAGACAGGCTGGTCCCTCCCACGTCCGGAGAGAACTGCTCTCTCCAGGGCTTTGAGGGCGGCTAGCAGCCGCAGGGGAAGGGCGTGGGGCCGAGACCCTGCTCCTGACTGCAGCGTGCCCACCTGCCCCCGTTTCCTGGCTTCAGAGAGCGTAGAGATAATGACCAGGTTTGCAGAAAGGAAGAATCTTGAAAATGCAGGCTTTTTGTTGTTTTTGTCTCTCCTTCCTGGTTTTTATTGCCCCGAGCTGGCTGCAGACAGGAGGGGTCATCCTGGGGCTGGCCCCTGCCCAAGGCCGGTGCAGACAGTCCTTCCCACCAGGCACAGGACCTGGGCCCGCGCCTCCGGTTCCCACAGACAGACGGGCCCCAGTCGTGCCTCTGACCCGGCCCCGCCGCTGGGTAGATGATTCACCGGGAGCTGGCAAGAACGCCCGCCGGTGCCCAGTCACTGGCCGCGTGAGCATGACGGTGGTCATGAGGACAGTTGGGCGAGAGTGTGTGACCGCTGCCTGCAGGTAGCTCACAGATGGCCCCTGAGGAATTCCTGGGGAAATGACTTGGAAGAACACCTGGAAGCCACACACTCAGTGGTGGTCCCTGGTGCCCAGCCCTGAGGGGCAGGCTCAGCAGTGGGGCCCTGGGGTGAGGGAGCGGACCACGGCTTCAGAGAGATGCAGACTCGGTGTTGTGATCAGTACGCGGGGCGCAGGCTTGTCAAGGGTCCCCTTCTGAGCACAAGGTTCTTCAGTGCCTCAGGCAGAAGCTGTGCCCCCCCCCCCAAAGCCACCAATTCCCAGCGACCCCACAGGACAGGGTGGAACGTTGCCTCTACTGTAACTTTTTTCCCGACCAGAAAGCCTCATCTTTCTCCTGGGAAGCAGCTGGTGGGCTTAAGCCGCTGACCGCATGTTCAGCAGTGTGGTGCACAGCCCCGTTGCCCCAGCAGGACCCCACCCCTCCCCTCCAGCCCCTAAGAAACCCATCAGGGCAGTCAGCAGGGGCAGACAGCCTCTCCTGTCTCTCGAGGGGCTCATGGTGGGTTTGAACCGCTGCCCTTGCAGAGAGCAGCCCGGCGCAGAGCGCCCCCCCTACCCCATTGACCCTCACCGCCGTGATGCACAGAGTGCGCCCCCTCCCTCGCCATGGCCCCCACCACCATGATGCACCTGCCTCCTCTCAGTGTTGCTGTGATGTCCGCGTGTCCGTGCCTGTCCTTCCGGCGCCAGGCTTGTCTCGCTCAGCATGAAGGCCCTATGACCTGTCCACGGAGAGCTGTGCACCAGGGTGTCCTCGCTCGCAGTGGCCGGGTGTGGCCAAGCCCGTGTGTCCCCCTCTGTGGGGTGCCTGGACCGTGTCTGCGCTGGGGGTTCAGTGAGCAGGGGTGGGGTGGGGAAGAACTGTGTGTGCTCCTGTTGCCAGGCCTCTCGGGCACATGCTGAGCCACGGGACCCCCAGGACAGGGGATGGGTTTGTTTTCAACACAAATCCAAGCACATGCCCACCAGGCCGCTTGTGCTGGGGATAGTGACTTCCCCGCTCGGATTCTCTGCGGGTTTTGTAGAGGCTCCCCATCACAGATAGACCGTCCTGAGCGGAGCCGGCGGACAGAGACACGGCCCTTGTCTCCTGCACCCGCTCCGGCTGTCCCTGCTGGCCGACCAGGTTTATTTTTAGAGTTGGGTTTGAATCAATAAGTGGGAGATTTTGGGGGAATATGAGCTGGAGTCTTGGAAAATATGTTTTCCAGCTCAAAACTCCAGCCTCTTGGGCCTCCTGCAGAGTGTCTGTGTCCAGGCTGTCTGGGGGACCACGTGGGCGAGGAGCGGTGCGGCCAGCCCCAGCCAGGGGCTGTGTGTGGACTTAAAGTCAGGACAGGCCTGGGAAGCACGTGGTGCCCATGCCTGGGTTCCGCCTGTCTGTCCCATTGTCCCCTTGCTCCTGGTCACCTGTGGGGAGGTACCAGATAGTTGCTACCCCCCCAGGCCTGTCACTCGTGCCCTGAGGCGCGTCACCAGTTGAGATCCCCACTGGAGCTGGGAAGAAGGGAGCCACACCAAGGCTTAGGGGACAAAGGAGCTTGGGGTGAAGGAGGTGGAGGGTTGCGGTAGCTGCTGTGCCTCAGAGTTCCAGGGTAGTGTGTCAGTCTGGGTCGACTAGAGAAACAAATCCAGGGAGACTCATATGTGTGTAAGAGAGAACTTTATATCAAAGAGCAATTGTATATTAGTAAACATTCCAACCAAGTCCATAAATCTGATATTAGCCCATATGTCCAATACCAGCCTGTAAATTCCTCTTCGGACTCACGCAACACATGCAATGATGTCAAATGCAGGAAGATCACAGGCCAGTAGGCGGAAAGTCTTGTGGCTCCAGTGGCAGTGGAAGCATCTCATGTGGCTCCTCCAGCTCTAGAGCTCTGGCTCCATCAGTGTGGTTCCATGTGGCTTGTCAACAGGAATGTCTCGCAGGGAGAGAGTGTGCCCCACCTCCAGGGAGGAAGACAGGAGTTACCAGAATCCTCAGGAGAAGGCCAGGCCCACACAGAGTCCTCATTGGCTATGACCTGCTTGACAGGCTAGACTCCACCCCTTCCTCAAGTTGACAGGAGATGATGTCACTGTCACATACAGGCAGGAAGTCCCAGACTGGGATGTCTCCTGTCTAGTGTCCCTGGGAGGCCCTGAGCAAGGCTCTGCCCCATGGCTCCCTCTCCGTTCCCTGGAGGTCCTTGGTGGCCCTCAGTGATGCCGGGCTGTGCAGAGCTGGTTCTGAGTGAGTTCGTCAAACACCTCCCTGCCCTCGCAGGCCCTTGCTTCGCCAGCCAGGACCGGGGTCCGTCCCCAACCCCCTGCCTGGGGGGAGCCCAGAGCAGGCTGACCAAGTCCTGTGGGACCTGTAGCAGTCCTATTGGCTCCATCTCGAGCCTCAGTCTCTGCTGACATCCTGCAGGCACATGACATCCCGGAGGCAGAGCTGCCAGGCACACACACCTCGGACTGCAACTGTGACAGGGGAACTTTGGGGCCCTCGCCCCGAGGTGGTGAGAGGGGCACTGGGCTCAGGCTGGAAAGGGAAGTGGTTGCCCGCCGGGCTGGCGGCGGCGTGGTGTGGCTGGACACCTTTTCTGGAGGTTCTGGACACAGCAGCAATTCCAAGGAGCTGTGCTTTGGGGCCTGGGGTAAGGGGGCAGGTGTCTGGCCAGTGACAGCTGGTCCCACCCCTGCTGCTACCTGGGGGGCCTGGTGCCACTGGTCGGCCCGAGGGTCTTCTGGCAGCAGGGACCCTGCACTGGGGTGAGGCCCCTGAGTGGTTCTGAAGGGCAAGGAGGGGGCTGCTTGGGGGAGGGGGCAGTGGTGGGGCCAACACCAGGCCTGTTATGTTCATGAGCCTCGAGGCGCCGTTCGGAGATGGGAGTCCAGAAGCTGACATCCCACAGGGCATTACCCCATCCCCATGAGTCCCCCTGTCCCCCTGTCACTGGGATGCAGCTCCACACACACTGCTCCATGGGCCCTGCCACCTTGGGGCCCCTCCAGGGACAGGTAGAGGCTGGCAGCTATTTCTGCCTCCAACCGCAGTGAGGCCTGGCTACCTTTCAGTGAGTCATCTATCCGAGGGTCAGAGATGCCAGTGTTAATCATTAGGAATGGGGACTGTGATCCTCAGCACCCCTGCCAGAGCTCCCAGGTGGCTGGGACAAGTCCAGTTCCTCAGAGAGAAAGTTCAAGGTCAGGGCAAAGTGGCGTGGGGAGGGGGGCTGGTGGGGAACCCCAGGAGAGGCACGTCTAGGGTACCCTGGCTTCTCCCAGCCAGACATCAGGCTTGTCCATGCTTCTGCTGGCTGTCAGGGACCACTTCATTACCTGGTCCAGGTGTGTGTCCCTGTGTCTGTGTGCCCTGTCTGTGTCTGTGTGTGTGTTCCTGCGTGTCTGTGTGTCCCTGTGTCTGTGTGTGTCCCTGCGTGTCTGTGTGTCCCTGCGTGTCTGTGTGCCCCTGTCTGTGTGTGTGTCCCTGTGTGTCTGTGTGTCCCTGTCTGTGTCTGTGTGCCCCTGTCTGTGTCTGTGTGTGTGTCCCTGCATGTCTGTGTGTCCCTGCATGTCTGTGTGTCCCTATCTGTGTCTGTGTGCCCCTGTCTGTGTCTGTGTGTCCCTGTGTCTGTGTGTGTGTCCCTGTCTGTGTCTATGTGTCCCTGTGTCTGTGTGTGTCCCTGTCTGTGTCTGTGTGTCCCTGTGTTTGTGTGTGTGTCCCTGTCTGTGTCTGTGTGTCCCTGTGTCTATGTGTGTGTCCCTGCGTGTCTGTGTGTCCCTGTGTGTCTGTGTGTCCCTGCGTGTTTGTGTGCCCCTGTCTGTGTCTGTGTGTGTGTCCCTGCGTGTCTGTGTGTCCCTGTGTCTGTGTGTGTCCCTGTCTGTGTCTGTGTCTGTGTGTCCCTGTCTGTGTCTGTGTGTCCCTGTGTCTGTGTGTGCCCCTGTTTGTGTCTGTGTGTGTGTCCCTGTGTGTCTGTGTGTCCCTGCGTGTCTGTGTGTCCCTGTGTCTGTGTGTCCCTGCGTGTCTGTGTGCCCCTGTCTGTGTCTGTGTGTGTGTCCCTGCGTGTCTGTGTGTCCCTGCGTGTCTGTGTGCCCCTGTCTGTGTCTGTGTGCCCCTGTCTGTGTGTGTATGTCCCTGCATGTCTGTGTGTCCCTGCGTGTCTGTGTGCCCCTGTCTGTGTCTGTGTGCCCCTGTGTCTGTGTGCCCCTGTCTGTGTGTGTGTGTCCCTGCGTGTCTGTGTGTCCCTGTGTCTTTGTGTGTCCCTGTGGTGGGGGCCAGCAGGTAGGGGTGCTTGCTGTGTGTGTGTGTGTGTGTGTGTCCCTATGGCGGGGCCAGCAAGTAGGGGTGCCTGCTGGGTGGGCTCTCACACACCTCCCATCTCCACAGGGCTCAGCCTCTGTCCTCCAGCGCCGATCCCCCACCGAGGAGTATGTGGAGGTGGGGCGACTCGGACCCTCCGACTACTTTGGTGAGTGACTAACAGAGGCACCCTTCCCTGGAAACCCCCGCCCCCCCTGGTACCCTTCCCCACACCGCTGGAGCAGGAGAGCCAGGGGCAGGAGTAGGGGAAGGCCAAGGCCCTGTCCCCTCCCCCAGTGCCCCTACCCACAGCACCCTCAGATGGCTGCAAAGTAGCAGGGCCAGGGTGCTCTCTGGGTTGAAGGGCCTTCCTGTCTCAGGCTGCCCGGGAGGCTCCCCTTTCCATGGCAGCGCCGCAATGTCCTCGCTCACTGGGGCTCATTAGGCCACGGGAAAACCGTGTCAGAAGCAACAAGGATGTCTGTACACCCGGCCCTGCACACAGACCCTCCTCCACAGTGGCCCAGCCTCCACCCCCACCACCCCCCCAACCCCCCCACCCCCCGTGCAGACAGACTGCTGACTCGCCGCTGACAGCCCTGTCCGCCTCCCCGCAGGAGAGATCGCGCTGCTGCTGAACCGGCCCCGCGCGGCCACCGTCGTGGCGCGGGGTCCCCTGCGCTGCGTGAAGCTGGACCGCCCGCGCTTTGAGCGCGTGCTGGGGCCCTGCTCCGACATCCTGAAGCGCAACATCCAGCGCTACAACAGCTTCATCTCGCTCACCGTCTGAACCCGCACCGCTTACTGCTGCTCGTCCCCGCGGGGGGCTGGTGGGGGACGGGCCTCCTGGTGCAGGGCAGCGCTCCCCCGACCCCCTCACTGGAAAAATATACTCCTCGTGTGCATTTCCACAGGCGCTGGGGGCAGGCGGGCCCGGCTCCAGCGCGGGCGCCTGCTCCCACCCCCACGCCCGCCCGCCCCCTCCACCATTGCTGCACTCTCGGACCTCCGAGACCCCAGCCCACCAGCCCTTCCGGGTGAGGGTGGGTGGGTCCCCAAGGAGGAGGAGGGTGGCCAGCTCACCACCCTCTCGCCCCTGTCTGAGACAGCTATCCACACGGAGTGTCTGGTGGACAGACGGCGGCCCTGGGGGGTTGAGGCTGGAGAGAGAAAGGGCTCCAGGTGGCCTCTGGGACCACTGCATACCCACCCCCTGCTCCCACCCAACGACAAGGGGGCCCCTTCCGCTGCAGAGTTTTAAAAAGTGTCTCCCCCCACCCCCTTCCCATCTCAATGCAGGTGGGTGGCCCTGGCGCATAGTTCCTGAGGGCTGCGATCCCTGGAAACCGAATCTGAGTGTGGGGGGCTTTCCTGTACCAATGACTCCTCCCGATCTCCCTGCGCTCCCAGGGAGCCAGAGGGAAGCTTCCGGTCACCTCGGCAGGGCCGGACAGCCACCGGCAGGCTTCCTGACAATACCCCCTTCTCACTTAGCTTCCCGAGTGACCTCTGGGAGCTCCCATCCCATCCGTTGGCCCGTCCCCCCCACCTCAAGTCACTGACCCCAGCCCTCACCCATCTATCTACCTGCACCCAGTGGTAGGTCCACCAGCAAACACAGGAACTTCCTGTCCAGACACAAGTAGTGGGGGGGGCTGCCTCCGTGTGGCTGGGCCTTATCCCAGGGGGTGTCCAAGGGGCTGCCCTTATTCCAGGGGGCATGGGGAGGGACATCCCCGCTGGCCACAGGTCACTCTGGCCGGTGCTGCGCCCTGTGGCCCTGCCAGTCCCGCCCCACCCAGCTCCCCACCCCCAATGGGCGTGTCCTGCGGGGTGAGCCTGCTTGGTGGGCGTGTCCTGTCATGTGAGTCCCTCCCAGAGGGCATGTGCTGCCTGTGATCCCCGCCCCACCCTGCGAGCTCCTGGGTGCTGCATGCGTATTAAAATATTCCTTGAACAAGCTCTGGACTGGCTGCATCTGTCTGAACCCGGTTCCCAGGGTGCTGAGATCCTTTGCGGGCTCCCTGCCCCCTGGTCTGGCCTCGATGGCACTCAGAGTGGGCGGGGGAGGTGAGGGGACAGAATCTCCGGTTTCAATTTTCTG